ATATATATATATATATATATATATATATATATATATATAGTATACTGCTAATTTAAAAGGATAAAGCAACCATGTCACAGATCCTATTAAATGTATATCACTATAAATAATGTAAAAAGTACATCATAATTTGATGATTTCATTTTACAAGTTAATTGTATTTCATGTGCACAATAGTAAAATGTGACTAATTACTACAAATTATACACTGTAAAAAGAAAATGCAAAAGTAAATAAAAGCAATAACATAACACGTTTCTGTGTTTTGGGAGTGTATTCAACAAGGCAAAGATGTAAAGCATTCTTATTTAATATAAGTACTGTTAAGTGATAAAAGTTGCGATTTCCTGTGGTGGCAATGTGAACTACAGTAAGTACTAAAAATAGTAAATTCTGGAACAATTTTCAAATAATCATATGCTTTTAAGGAAAAAAGTATCTGAAAACATGCTATAAGGTGATGTGATTTTAACATGAATACCTTTAATGGATTGTCGTTTTGGTAGGATGGTGACGGCACCTTCTGCCATTTCTTCATGGCTCAGTATTGGAGCAATTTTGGATCCCCAGCTGTCTGAGCCGACCCAGATGAAATGGCCTGTTTGATTGGCTCTTTTTGCTGCTTGAAGGAGATGCCTTTGGGACAGAGGTAAAAAGCAATGCTTTTAAATAACATATTACTCCAGTATTATATCATACTCACATATAAAAAAAACTGTATATCAACTGTGACAGCATGGTTCATTTTAAATGCACCATAAACTAGAAGTGTAGCTGCTCTGCAGCTTGGAGCTTGAGTAGAATACTTAATTTTGAGTTCGGACAAAGTTGTATAGAAATATTCCTAGTGAAGTGAAGTCCATACTGGCTGTGTCAGAAGTTATTTTACATTTGACCAGACCTGCTGTCAACAGGTGTAGGTTTGTGAGGTGATAAAAACATAATTACTGACACACACATTATTAAAAAGTGGGAGCTAAAGAGTAAATATAGAGCACTGTGTTGCATTAGACTAGGGTTATATGAGAATAAGGATGCAGCTAAAGTTACAAAAGAAAAGAGGGACATTGGACATTCTGTTAATGCTGCAGGGAAGGCAGGAGTTGTTTGATCACCGTGATTCACAAAGAACAATACTAGCACCTCCTTCCTTCTGTGCACATTTCAAACAACTCTTCAGATAATGCCTTCAGCTCAAAAACAAATATTGGGAGACTAGTTTCTAACTAATGACCCGTCAAAGTCAGAGTTTCTTCATTTGTCATTCGCACAACATGTGGTACATGTGGTGGAATGACATTGTGTACACAGGGTCCCAGTTACATCCAACAAAAGTATAAAATGTAAGAGGAAAACAGTAGTAAGATCTAAGATATGAACCAAGTAAAACGTTAACTAAAAATATGCTAAGCACTAGTAGTATAAAAACAATACACCGAACAGCAGCACGAACATGAGTCTGTGTGAGTAGATGAGTACAAACCGACAAAGCAGCACGAAACAAACCAGCAGCACAATCTGACTTTTTCAAAGTGGCCACCCTGGTCAGGGGCTCATAAGTCTCATAACCTTTGTGAGTTGACCGGCTGATGTTGTATTTTACTGAAAAAGTTCTCCTTTTCACCCAGTTTCTCAATTCAATTCAATTCAATTCAAAAATACTTTATTAATCCCAGAGG